TATTTGGCTACACCGGATCTTAGTTGCCCCATGCAGGATCTTTTAGTTTCGGCGTGCCAACTCTTAGTTGCGGCATGTGGGATCTAGTTTCCCGACCAGGGATTGAACCCAGGTCCCCTGCATTGGGAGTGTGGAGTCTTAGCCACTGGACCACCAGGAAAGTCCCCCACATACATCTTATCTCTTTTAATTCCCACATGCATTCGTTCAATAAGGTATTATTGGGCTATGTACCAGGCACAGCAGGACTTAGAATCTATATACACGACTAGATTGAAGACTCCTGGATTATAGAGGAGTCTGCAAGGGATTTTGGTTATCTTCTCTAATCGATCTTCTTTTGTTTTGCCCGGAAATCTGATCTTCTGCCAGCGTGAAGGCAGCTGCCCAAGACTTGTCACCAGCCAACAGGATGAAGTCAATGGTGAAAAAAAATGTGGGTAGATTCCTACAAACTCACCCTCATCAGTTGAAAGAAGAAAGGACTCAAAGCTTGTAATCAAAGCCTGGGACACATGAGCAGGTAAGAGAGGGGAATCCCTTCTACCAGTGGGTGGTTCTCCAAGAGGGTTGCCCACCTGACAACCAAAAATAATGTGGTGCTCCATCCATACGGAGCCAGTCACGGTTGTCACCCTGGTGACTTCTAACAGCTCAGAGCAGAGGTCCTCACTGATCAGGTGATCATGCATGGGAGGGCGGGCGAGGATGACAGGATGGGGCCAGCAAGGCTTTCCGAAAGCTTTTGTAGTTTGTATGGACGCATTCTGATTCATGCTGTGTCCCGGTGGAAGTTCTACACATATCACAGATGGAGAGAAAACCCTGGCAGATCTAGTGGCAACCCGGGTTGGATGGCTGGAGAAAGCATCTTCCCTGTACGTTCAGGGTATCAGGCACCTTTATGCTGGGGGTGGAGAAGAACGGACCCAGGACCCTCCAGCAACTACCTTCCAGGTCTGGGGGAGAATGAGAATGTAGTTACCTCCTTTGTAGAACTCTCCGTCACATGTAATCTGTCACCAAGCTTAATTAATTTCATTGTCTTTTTCTTTCTTTCTTCTCCCCCTCCCCCTCCTCCCCCTTCTTCCTCTTCTTTTTACCATTATAAAAATATTTTATTAGTAATCATCAAATACAGTGTTCAGATTTCCCTGGTTCTCTCATAAAATCTTTTCTAAAATTAAATAATTTATTTTTGGCTGCGTGGGGTCTTCATTGCTGCGCACGGGCTTTTCTCTAGTTGTGGCAAGCAGCGCGCAGGCTTTGTTGCGGTGCACAGGCCTCTCGTTGCGGTGGCTTCCCTTGTTGCGAAGCATGGGCTCTAGAGTGCAGGCTCAGTAGTTGTGGCGCATGGGCTTAGCTACTCCACAGCATGTGGGATCTTCCCGGACCAGGGCTCAAACCCGTGTCCACTGCATTGGCAGCTGGATTCTTAACCACTGCACCACCAGGGAAGCCCTCATAAAATCTTATACAGTTGATTGGTTTGAATCGAGATCTTGTTACCTCAATAAAAAACAAACCAAAAAAAAAAAAAAAAAAGGAGACAAAGAGCTACCTCAACCACTTACAATACACAGGCCTCATTTGGATCTTGATTCCATTTTCTTAACCCATCCCCTTCCCTTGGCAACTTTCCCAGCTACTACAAGCCCCTTAAAGGCAGAGATGGTGTATCATCGTACACCCAGGACCTAACGCACAGTGCCAGGCACATCGTCCTCAATTCCAAGGGTTTATGGAATGACTCACGCCCTAACCTGGAGATTGAGGACGTTCAACAGCAGGGAATGCTGCCTAACTGCTTCCAGAAGACATACACAAGAGAAGGAGGGAGGTGGGTATGATCATTCCCTGTGTCTAAAAATCTGACATGACTAATTGATTTATAATATCAAAGTCACCAGAAACGGTGGGAGGACTGAAATGATTTGCAGAGGGGAGGAAAAGCACAGATAGGCAATCTTTCAGATTATTGAAGGAGATGAGGAACGGGGAGCTCGCAGGTGCACGGTTAGCACTGTCTCCAAGGGCTGCCTGTCCAGCTGGGTTGGTCAACAGAGGAGTCAGGGCTACCTGGAAGCTCACAGAGGGTGGTGCCTGGGCCGCTCAGAGCTTCATGGCTGCAGGAGTCTGATCAGGTTTTGAATCTGAACTCTGTCCCTAGCCCATTGTCTGACTTTGGACATGTCACTCTCTAACCCCAGTTTCACATCTCTAAAATAGGGACAATGATATCTACCTCAGAGGGTTGTGGTAAGGACCAAAAAGGTCACAAGTGAAAGCGTCCAGTGGTTTCTGGCACATTCGCTCAATGTAAGTTTCCTATTCTTGTCTCACTGACTGGCTTGTGCTGTGCACTCTGCTCTTCTGAACCTCAAATTTCTTCATCTGCAAAAATGGAATATGTGAGAGTGCCTGGCACATAGTTGAAGCTCAATAAAGGTTTATTTTTAACTTTTTATGATGTTTATTTTGAAACAATTTTAAAGTTGCAAAAAGTACTAGAGAGTTCCCCTATACCATACACCCAAGCTTCCCCTAATGTTAATATCGTGCCTAATCATATCAATAGTACAATGATCCAAACCAGGAAATTAACACCTCACAACTCAACGCCATTAACTAAACTCCAGAAATTATTCAAGTTTCCCCAAGACGGCCTTTTCTGTTCCAGGTTCCAAATCAGGATCCAGAGTTGTTGTATCCTTTAGTTTTCTGTGACTTGTGACAGTTTCTCAGTCTTTTATTTGTCTTTCATGACCTTGACACTTTGGATGGGTACTGGTAAATAACTTGGAAAAACACTTCTCAATTTGGGTTCATCTGATGTTTTCTCATGATTAGATGGAGGTTATGCACTTTTTGCAGAAAAACCATGGCAAAGACACTGTGTTACTTTTTGGTTTTTTTTCTTTATTGTGGTAAAATACAAAACATAAAATTTACCATTTGAACCATTTTAAAGTGTACAGTTCAGTGGCATTCAGTACTTTCACAGTGTTGTGTGACCACCACCATCTAGTTGGGGTACATTTCCATCACCCGCCAAAGAAGCCCCTCACGCACTAGCGCTGCCTCCTCATTCCCATCACCCCCACTCCCTGGCAATCACTAATTTGCTTTCTGTCTCTATGGCTTTGCCTATTCTGGACATTTTATATATATGGAATCATACAATATGCAGTCTTTCCTGACTGGCTTTTTTCACTTAGCATCATGTTTTCAAGGTTCACCTGGGTTGCAACATGAATCAGCACGCCACTCCTTTATATGGCTGAATAGTTTTGCATGCTGTAGACAAGCCACGTTTTATTGATACTTTATTTTCTAATTCAGCAGTGAAACCTGGCGAGGCAAGGAGGGCGCAGACCCCCATGACTGGCAGGAGGTACTGTGAAGTGTGCGGAGAAGGGTCAGGACTGGTGCCCTGGGGAGCAGAGGACTGTACTTCACGTTGCAGACAATGCTCGAGAGGCCACTGTCACACTGCCGCGGGAGTAGCAGACTCCTTTGAAAACTTCATTTGTGGAAAGGGAAACACAGTTGTTCAGGAGGAGGGGGAGACGTCCCAAGGATGGGAAGGGAAACTCTCCCTGGGGCTGGAGGAGTTGCTTCTCAGTGTCACCAACTTTCTAGGGCCAGCCACGCGCCCTGGAGGCCCGCCAGGCCGGGCCAGCAGAGGCTGGGGCTCGGATTGCACTGCGGTGGTCGCCCCAAACGCGCTCAGGGAGGGCCTAGGGCCTCGGGTGACACTTGCTCATTGCTTATGAAGAAAGGGGACCCTCCCTTTAGGCACATGCAATAGTTGCAAACTTTCATTTACAAACAAGGTGTGCCGAGCAGGAGGGTAAACATTTTCATATCCCAAACGTCACACCCCAGTTGCTCCTTAACTAGCAGATGCCCTTAGGTTTCCCGGAGAGGGTCTCGGGGGTGTCTAGCCTCGGGGAACGGTGGCCTCTCAACGTGCCTGCTGTCCCGCAGCCCTACCAGTACTTGCAGCCCGCGGCCTGGACGCAGCGCGGCCTCGGGCGGAGGGCGGCGCCTCAGCGCGCGGCCCGTCCCCGTCCCGCAGCCCTGCTGTCCCGGCGCGCGCACGGTGCGCGTACCCGGGGCCGGCGGCGGCGTGCGC